AACGGGACTGATCCGAACAAGAAATTTAAATGGGACTGACCCAAACAGAAATTTAAACGGGATTAACCCGAACAGGAATTTAGACTTCGTCAGCTCCCAGTTCCAATTCACCGAAGTCAGATTTCGTCATAGCCACCGTCGCCGCCGCGCAAGTAAGAGCACTGTGAGTTCACCCTTTTCTCTTGAACTTTAGTTCTTTCCCAAGCCCTCTAAGCATGACCGCTGTGGCTTCATCTACTGCGTTTTTCTTGCTAATTGGCCTCAATTTTGAGTACACATGCTGCATATGATGACTGAAATTGAATTTCTTTGTTTCTAAACAATTGTGGGGCCGATTGTAGTCTCGATTGAACAAAGTTTTGCTGAATTTTTTATGCCCATTCAGTGTTTGATAAAATGCCCAATTGGAAATTCTAATTGAAAACCAATTTGCCTTCATTTTTGCGTGTGAGGAAAACTGGTTAAGTCAGCGAGCTCGTCTCCTGGCGTTTGAAAATTGTGATGTATTGGCGTTTGGCATTTTTTCCGTTCTCTTATGCTTCCTAAATTGATGTTAGGAGAGGGAACTGTGGATTTCATTGTCTGTGGAGAATGTCTAGAGTTGCAACTGTTTTCTTTTTATAGTGCTTTGCTTGTAAGAAGGACAGGAATGGTGGACTGTTGTTTAATCTGTTGGGAAGATGATCGTTTGTCCAAAATCACAATTTTAGTCCTTCCATTTGCTTTTTATTTTGTAATTTAACCCCAGAGTTCCAGAGCTTCTGATTGTGACCCTCAAAACCTTCATAATTCCTTCAATTAGGCCCCTATTTTTGTTGCATTGGGACCTCTCAAGTTTCCTTTGTTCTGATGTGGCCCAGAGAATTAGACAGCTTAACCAATTTTGTCCCTTTAAATGTTTTCTTCTGTGATATAAGTTAATGTGATTTTTTTGGATAGATTAATTCTGGGGATTTAATGCTTAATCAAAGCTTAGTAATTTTTAGTGGAGTTTTATCTTGTTGAGTTTAGTAACATTTGTTTGGTTTTCTTGTTGGGCTTAGGAAGATTAAAATTCAAAACTTTTGGTTGGGTTTTAGGATTGGGTTGTTGATTCATTTGGTTGGGTTTTATTTGGTAAAAAGGTGGTTGACCCATTTCAGTATCTTGGACTTCTGATTGGGCCAAGTGGTCTTGGCCCAAGAAAAGTTAAAAATGGTCCAGTGGCCTTGTCTCCTAAGAGACCAGAAACGAATTGCGAACCAGCCCCTGCATTTTTAAATAACTATACTAAAGCCCTGAAAACTTTCAATTTCTGTCAATTGGATCCCTAATTTAATTGCAAATAGGCTCCTAAACTTATTCTTCTTTAATTTTGACCCCAAAGCTTTGTTAATTTTTGCAATCAAGTCCTTTCTTCTTTTGGCTTCTTAGACGTGGGTTGTCAACATGATTTAATTGATTTAATTTCATGTTTATTTTTATCTTTTGTGATTACTTATTGATTAAAGTGGTACCCTGACCATTTTATTGTTTTGGAGGGTAAATAAGAGAGCAATTCCATTTTCTTAGGGCCCCAATTCAGGGGAGGTACACCCTAATCCTTTATTGTTACTTTATTTGACTCTACGTGCCCTATGTGATTTTACGTGCTTAATTGCATGCCTCTTAAATGTTTATATTATTTATTAATTTATTTATTTATTTAATTTATTTATTTATTCGCTTTATTGGCTTTAGTTTATATATTTATTTTAGTTCGATTTTTGATCACTTGAAAGGCACTTGAATGCCAAATTTGTAATAGTTATGTATTTATTTTAATTATTTATTTATTTCCCCCTTTTAGATTGTAGTAGGGCCTCCTCAAGTGTAATAGTTAGAGGTTTCTTTGCTTTATTTGCCTTGTGTGTTTTTGCATACCTATGTGTTATGTGTTACTCGCTTTCCTAGGGTCTTGCATCTAGATATCATGCTTATGTGTTATGTGTTTTATGTGGTTTATGTGTTTATTTGCTTTATTATACTTTACATGATTTATTTGACTGTAATAAATGTGTGACGTCACCACACTAGTCCAATACTAGTTATGGTCAATTTCTCGAATCCATACTAGTCCAACGCTAGACCCTTAGGAGCCCCTCAAGCGTTAGATCATGGTTGTGTGATAAAATCACTTCATTTCATGCATAATTTTCACTTTTTAGGGTCTTTTATCATTTTTTGCATGACATTCCTCCTTATATGTATATCTCTTCTCCCATATTTTCCCTTATATGTATATTACTTACTCCTATGCATGAGACATGACATTAGATTGCATTACATCTAAGCATTAGAATTAGGCTAGTACATTTGCATGATTAGATTAGGGAAATAACCCCTTCGATATGGGATATGGACGAGTTTGGCTTCTCTAGCCTTAGCACCCTCGTATTCCCTTTATTAAAGGGAACATTGAAAGTCACGAGTGTAAGTCCCCCGCACCCATTATGATGCATTCCTTTATGATATACACATTTGTATATTATTATTTTCCTACTTTTTCTTTCTTTCGAGTCTCATGACTTGCATTATTCGTGACTTCTTCGAAAAATCTTTATTGGGCGTCACAATTAATGTGATTGGTACCAATTGAGTTTTGAAAACACATTTCGGACCCCTCGATTCCCTCTTAGATCTAGGGTTTGCATTCATATAGTACATCCAAATGTGATAACCTTAAGGGTAAAATAAGAAAATCTTTGACCTTTTTCTCTGATTTTCGTAGACTTGGAGTCATTTAAAAAGGGTTTTCTACTTTTTCTTTAAAAATTCATTTTTAGGTGACTTGGTACACCTTAACTCTATACCAAGTGGCGACTCCATTTTTCATTCAAAAAACCCTTTTTAAACTATATTTTGGGTCAAATCGTCGTATTTTCAAGTCCCATTTAGACTCATTTTCTTTCTTAAAACAAAAATTCATTTTATCAAATCAAAATTCGCTTTTTAAACCATTTATCATTTATCTATTTTTTTCAAAAATAGGGCGCAACACATAATAGATTGCATGTGCTGCCTTGCCAATTCTTTGCCCTAACACTGCTCCCACTGCGTAGTCACTCGCGTCGCACATTATTTCAAATGGGAGGCTCCAGTCTGGGGATTGAATAATGGACGGTGAGGTTAACGATTCCTTCAATTTGTCATATGCCATCTTGCACTCCTTGGTGAAGGCAAATGCTACGTTTTTTTGCAACAATTTGAACAAGAGTGCTCCAATTTTTAAAAAATTCTTGATGAATCTCCTGTAAAATCCTGCATGACCCAAAAAGAAACGCACTTCCGATACACTCACGAGGTAAGGTAAAGTAGAAATAATATTGACTTTTGTTTTATCTACTTCTATGCCCCTAACCAACACTACATGTCCTAAGACAATACCATGCTCTACCATGAAATGATATTTTTTTCAATTAAGAACTAAGTTTGTCTCTATGCACTATTTCAAAATTAAAGCTAAATTATCAAGACATTTTTCAAAACTATCCCCATATACACTAAAATCATCCATAAATATCTCAATAATTTTTTCTACATATTCGAAAAATATACTTACCATACACCTTTGGAAAGTCGTTGGAACATTGCAGAGACCGAAAGGCATCCTCCGGTAGCAAACATACCAAATAGGCATGTGAATGTAGTTTTCTCCTGGTCCTCCGGTGCTTCGCAATTTGGAAGTACCCTGAAAAATCATTAAGAAAATACTAGTAAACACGACCAACCAATCTTTCTATCATCTGATCAATAAAAAGGAGAGGGAAGTGATCCTTTTTTGTCACGGCATTCAATCGCCGGTAGTCGATGCACTAGCGCCATCTTGTGAGTTTTCTCACTAGGACCATCTCGCCTTCCTGGTTCTTTTTACCATTACTCCCGTCTTTTTTGGGATTACTTAAACTCGGCTCACCCATGGACTGTCTGAGATGGCAAAGATGATTCTCACTTCCAGGAATTTGAGTATCTCCTTCTTGACTACTTTCATTATTAGCGGGTTCAATTTTCGTTGCGCCTATCTCACCGACTTTGCATCATCCTCAAGCCGTATCCGGTGCATACATAAGGATGGGTTGATTCCTTTGATGTCTGCTATGCTCCACTCAATCGCCTCCTTATGATCTCGAAGAAAACAAACTAGGTTGTCTTCTTGACTCGGTGACAAGTGTGCAGAAATTATCACTGGTAGTGTCTCCTTGTCCCCAAGGAATGCATACTTCAAGTGTTTTGGCAGATGTTTAAACTCCAACTCGGGTGCCTGCACAATAGAAGGCAATAATTTCGTCTGAGTTTCTGGTACATACAGAGAAGTAATCTCATACCTTGGAGAAATTGGTGGGAGCGAATGCAGTGCTTCAACCGCATGGCACAATTCATCACTTATTTCTACATCAAGAGTTGCTCCCAACTCAAGATATTTGCCCAAAACTACTCCCAGTGCATCCTCCCCATCTAATTCAATATTTCCTGCATCAGGGGCTCAATAACATTCAAAGCATAAACAGAGTTAGATTCCTCCGGGTATTTCATCATATCAAAAATATTAAAATTTACAATTTTTCCATCAAAATTTATCGACAAAGTACCCTCATTCACATCTATTTTTGTCCTAACAGTGCTTAAAAATGTTCTACCTAACAAAATAGGTGACGAATTTAATGACCTCTCATCCCTCATGTCTAGGACATAAAAATCAGTTGGAAAGACTAACTCATTAACCAGTACTAAAATATCTTCAACTAACCTTTCTGGATAAGCATTGGTACGGTCTGCTAGTTGGATTATAATGTCTATGCCTTTTAATGGCCCAAAATTAAGAGACGCATAAATAGCTTTAGACATTACATTAATTGACGCCCCTAAATCCAACATCGCTTTCCTAATTGGGATACCTTCTATTTTGCATGAAATTGTGAACATACCTGGGTCCTCACACTTTGGTGGGAGTTTCCTTTGGAGTATAGCTGACATATTTTCTCTCACTGCCACTTTTTCGTCACCCTTAGCTTTCTTTTATGGGTGCACAAATCCTTCAAAATTTTGGCGTACTTCGATATCTGTTTGATTACATCCAACAAGGGGATGTTGATCTCCACTTTCAGGAACACATCCAAAAACTCTTTTTCCTTCTCTGTTTTCTTTGTCTTTTCCAACCTGTAAGAAAAGGGAGGTAAGTTAGATTTAATAGGGGGTGAAGGAGTGAATGTTATCTTAGGGTCCTCCTCGCGAATGCGTCCTTCCTCTTCAATCTCCTTTTCTATCTCTTCCTCACTTTTATTTTTCAGATTTTCCACTTTAGGTCCCTCCACTTTTTTGCCACTCCTCAGTGTCATGGTACTTACATTCTTGAAATTTACCTCGGGTTGCGATGGCAATTTCCTATAAACGTGGAATTTCAGGCAATTAATGGCAGTTGTCATTTGACTCATTCGAGTTTTCATATCTTTCATGCCTGCTCTGGTGTCCTGCTGGAACTGAGTAGTGCTTGTGACCAAGGATCTAGTCTCTTGCTGGAGCTGAGTAGTAGTCGTGGCCAAACTCTTAACAATATCCTCCAAAGAGCTTCCTGAATTGGAGGACAAGAGTTGAGACTTTGGTTGCCATGGTTGCTGAAATCCTGATGGACGATTTGAAAAAGAATTCTGTGCCCTATTCTCATAGCTGAAACTGGAATGGTCTCTCCAACTGGGGTTGCACGTGTTGGAGTACGGGTCATACTGCCTACGAGACGCGGGTACGTCTCTAGCCATGTTTATCTGTTCCGCCCCATCCTCTTGCAAAAGGGGACATGTGTCCGTACAGTTGTCCATGTTTGTACAGATTCCACATATCTTCGCTCATTGCGTATTTCCCATAGCTAATTGCCTAACAGCAGACGTCAGCTCCGACAGTTGCTGCTGAATGGATGACGTCTCTGCCTCGTTGACCTAGGGTGGGGTTGCTCTCATGGAAGCCAAAATGCTGCGAATTTTCTACCATCAATTCAATAAGCTTCCATGTTTCTCTTGGTGTCTTATCTGCCAGTGCTCCTCCACTTGCAGTGTCAATAATACTTCTGTCAGATGCCTGGAGCCCTTCATAGAAGTACTGGATCAATAGTTGTTCACTAATTTGATGTTGCGGGCATCTAGTGCATAACTTATTGAACCTTTCTCAATAGTCGTACAAGGACTCCCCGGATACTGTTTAATGCTACATATCTCCTTTTTTAAACTTGCAGTCCAGAATACAGGGAAGAATTTTTCTAAAAACTTCTTTTTCAACTATGCCCATGTAGTAATACTACCTGCGGGTAGGTAGTATAGCCAATCTTTAGCTGCATTTTTGAGAGAAAAAGGGAAGGCTCTTAGAATAATTTGATCCTCAGTGACTCCAGAAGATTTCATGCTAGAGCAAACCACTTCGAACTCCTTAACGTGTTTAAGGGGTTCTTCACTAGAGAGACCATGGAACGAGGGTAAGAGGTGAATCAACCCTGACTTCAACTTGAAGGCGGTATTCTCAACCAAAGTTGGGAATGTAATGCACAAGGGTTGGTGAGTCAACTCCGGGCAGCCAGCTACCTTAGTGTTTGGTTGTTTGTCATGCTATATTCGTCCTCTATCGACTCATTTGCAATAGATGATTGCCCTCCTTTTCGTCTCCTAGTCACTTGCCTTCACCTACGTGCTGCCTTCTCAACCTCATGATCGTATATCAATTTATCTGTATGAGTAGAACGGGGCATAAACTATAAAAAATACCAAGAAAAAACTAAACTCAAAAAGAAATAAATAATTCAAATGCTAGTCCCCAACAACGTCGCCAAAAATTGACAGGTATTGAACCTGTGCAATAATAATAAATAAAACCGAACTACCACCAAAAGTAGTCACCAATCAATTTTAGGTACTGGAGCAGGGACTCTAGGTGTGCAATGGGTTACTTGATTCACCCTGTTCCCAAAGTGTTTGCTTAATCCGATATACCTGAATTAATTATTTGACTAAATTCACTAACTAGTAGACAGTGATAAGCAGGGTCGTCTCCTCAGGGATTGGGGAGAAATTTATTTCCTTTCGAGTCAAGATAAATGGGGAAATTTGGGATTAAATGCTAATGAACTAAATAAATCAAATACAGAAAATAATTAATTAAAAGAAATAATTGGGAGAACTCTAGCCAAGGGTACACTTCAGAAATGTTTCATGCACTGATCATTGATTCACAGATAATTTCAACATTTATTAATAGATTGGTTATAGTTGTCATGCACGCGATAAACAACCAACCTTTCCTTAATTTCTCGATAGTTAAGATACGACCGTTAACTATTTCTCTAACCCGAAAACAACCCTAGGTACGACTGTAGGATTTAATTTCTAGATTGCATTAATAATTAGAAAATTCCAATCCTAACAAACACGCTACGAGGGTTTGTTTAAGTTAGATCGTATGCTTCCCTGACATAAGCCTATTTACGCCAATTGCTACTTAGATAGAGATAATCGAACAATTACGGATTCAATTACCCTTAATTAGCAAAATAGCCTATATAAATAATTAATTATTGCGCACTAATTAATCATACACATAAGTTATAACAATTAAAAAAAGGAAACATATAAATACCAATAAATGAAAGAAATAATGAATAACGGTTTATATCTCACAGTAATGGCCAAACCAAATCGTCAGTTGTCCCCTTGACTAGAATTAGGGATTTAGTTCTCCATAATTAGAGAACAAGCCATGCGAAGAAAGTTGAAAAGAGCCGTCAATTCCTTTTTCCCAAAATCGGTCAACCGAGAAAAGAAAGAAATAATTGATTTCGATTGCTTTCAATTGTCTTCCAAGCCAAACGTACAGAGAGTCTGATGCTCTCTTTCAAATTTTGATTAAACAAGAATGAAAAGCAATTCCAATGGTCCACAACGGTGGCTAGCCTTTCTGGCCTTCCTAATTGCTACCAAAAGCTCCAACTAAAGTCAAAGGCAAAAGCCTACTCAAACGTACAATACCCTTTGGAAGTCCAAAATCCCTTCTTACGTTGGTAGCCGCCAAAAATGAAGGAATTGGTTTCCTTCTACTCTGCCGGCCCCACCAGAGAGCAAAACAATATGGTTCCCCCAATTCTAGTCTTTACTCCTTCCAAAAATTTGTATTCAAATATCAAAAGTCCCTAAATAAAAGGAAAACCTATTACAATATAATTGCTTCAGCTTTTTTAAGCGGATCCCACTGCTTGAAGCTCCCCACGTGCGACGAACCACGGAGATCCGACTCTGAGGGCTGGAGTTAGGCATGGGTACGCCTACTTATCAGGAAGTCCTCTGCATTTTGATTTTAAGAACTTTTTTAGCATCAATTCTTACAATTAACACAAAGACCACATCTGAGTAGAATACACCCAAATTAGTGCAATATTTAGTCAACTAATTGTGCAATATTACACAAAATATCCCAGTAAAATGCACTCTATCACAACGTAGCCATTTCAAAGATTTGAGACAAAGTTGTAGGTCTTAATATCCTTATCATGGTCTTGATTTCATCCTTGAACCCACTGATGAAGCTAGATATAAAATACTCCTCATCTAGATGCGGATTCTTAATCATCATAAGGGTTTTGAGCTCTTCAAACCTCTCTTGGTACTCTTCCACATTTCCAGCTTCTTGTAGATTGTTGAATTCTTCTACCACATCCTTGTCATTTCTATTATCAAATATCTTATATAGCAGCTCTTCGAACATTCTCCAAGTTATCCCTGGTTTTTCCAATTTAACTCCTTGAAACCATTTGTCCGCCCTCCCTTCCAAATACATTCCTATGACTTCCACTTTTTGCTTTTTGGGAATTTGGTAGTTTAAGTTGTATTTATTGCATTTTCTGATGCATTCTCTAGAATTCTCCCCAGTAAACAAGGGCAGATCGATTTTTGGAGGATTTGGTATAAAAAACTTACCCGCTTCCTTCCTTACTATCTTATTGTTTTATGACCCAATCTGCAGTCTTTGGTTTAATGGAGGAATTGGTAAGAGTGGTGCTTGCTCACTTCTTTGCCTGTCTTCTTCTAGAATAGTTTTATCCTTGCCTATCATTACTCTCATGAAGGCACTTAACTCTTGCTTCATTTTAGCTGCCAAACCTTCCATCCTTTTATTGCTTTCTTCTAGTTTGGTACGAAACTCATTCCATATTTGTTATTGTTGCAGTTGTGAAGCTTGCAGACTTTCTACTATCTCTTGAAGCCTGATTTCTTGCTTTTTGATTTGTCCCTCCAGTGTCTTAAATCCGGTGCTTTCTACCATAGAATCTGATTTCTTCCAAGGATTCAACCTGCTCTAATACCACTTGTCAGGATATTGATTGTAATTTTTGGGATTTAATTGTTGAATTAGTTTAGATTGAAGATCCAGAATTGGGGAAAAGAAGGATACAAACAAGAGAAAGGGAGAGGAAATGAGAAAATGAGAGAGAGTGAGAGAGAGAGAGAGAAAATGAAATATGTTATTCCCTTAGCCCCCCTCTCAACCAATCACCCTTTTACAAATATGATGGATTAACCGACTTAAACTAATCCAACTGATTCTGTTATTCTCCTTGCTACGACGTCATTCTACTTACTCTTTTATTCTACTGGTTTATTTGAGCACTTGTACAAAATGTCATCGTTATATTTGGTTTAATTGCTGAATTCATTTCTTCATCCTGACAGTAGCATTTGACTGACTTGACCAACATCTTATAAGTCAGCTATTTTTTGTCCCTTAGCCGTCCTACATATTAGTGAGTACTCAATAATCGGGTACCTGCTGAGATAAGGACAAGTCAACGAGTACCTACCTTGCTCCACTTATCATTTAATTGTTTTAAAAAATAATTTATACTAATTTAATTTTGTATTTTACATATTCATCTAAGACTTAATAAGGTTTTTTTTTTCTAAAAATAAAGTCTCCTACCAAGAAACAAACATGTGAACAGAATGCAAGAAAAAGAAACAATTATAAGAATTCAAAATTAATGAAAATTTGAAATAAGTAGTACCTTTTTAAATATATATTCCACATCAATTAAACTCTTTTTCAAATAATACAAGATCATGACCTCTACAAATGAATCTTGTAAATAAACTATAGTCTTCCATATTTGTAATGTAATTTGTGCAATGAAAAATATTATTTTTAATATGTGTATAAAAATAAAAAATATGAAAATATATGTGTGTGGCGGGTCATATATCTATGAGTTCTTAATCATGTGACCCTAACCCACCCCACATATAAAGGAATACTCTACTTTCTTTTGACCCGATCAAATAATACGGATTGGGTATTCTATTTTTTGGATAAGATCATACCGAATATTGCGGGTTTTTAGGTTAGTGGGCATTTTTGTCCATCCCTAATATGTATGTATATATATATACATATAGTATGGGTTAATCATGCTCATACATACATACATAATTGCATATACACATACATATATATATATATACCTATGCCTATATAAACACCACATACACATAATTATAGATGCATGTAGGTTTATATTTACATATGTATACTGTGAACAACAATAAAAGCAAGTTAATATGGGTTAATCACACTCCATCTCCCTATACATTGGAGATAGTCACTTTAAAACTCTCGACCTTAAAAATATACTTTATGCACATAAGATTAGTCAAAGTTAAAATTGCATAAAAAGTGAGTGCAATAACATTGTTGGCCCTTCTATTTATGAAATTATTAATAACTTACTATCATATATGTTTTATTGCTAATACATATATATGTTTATGGTATCTATTGTACAAAAATA